ACCAGTTCCTCCTTACCGGGTGAACCTCTCCTATGTAGTACTGCTTAAGCATTTCCCTGGCATCTATCGAATGTCCAACATCCTCAAAGCTCTCTGTGGCATCTCTCCCAGCCTCCCACTCTCCGTCCCTCCCCTGCTCCCCCTTCCTCTTCTAATTGTGCCTCAAAATGGCCGAAGTGGGTCTGAAGCATCCGAAGCAGATCCAAAGCACTTCAGATGCCCCCGACCTACTCCAGATACCATTGTTGGGACCCTGCTTCAATCTGGATGTGCCTCTTTGGAAGTCGAAGCATCTGAGGCAGCTCTGGATGCGAAGCGGGATCTGAAGACTTGCGCAGCCCTACTGCCAACTAGACATTGTGCCATTGATCACTACCCATTGACCCTGATGATCCAGCTTTCTATCCACTCTACTAGAAGAGCAGGTCCTCTGGTATTGAGTTGGCTGCAGCGGCTGTAGACTCCCCAAGCTGCCATGGGCTGGATCCAGTTTCTATATGGGCCAGAGCTGACCTGTGCATAGGTTGCCAAACCCCGTACTGCACAGCTGTGGTGTGTGTACTCTCCACCAGAGGGGACCGTGGCACCCACATTGCCTCTGAGCCCTCAGTGGAGTGCTGACAATCAAAATTTCTGAGTTGTGCTCTTGGTTCTAAGTACTGTTTGTAGTGCTTATGGTCTCTAATGCACAGGTGTCAAAGATATGGCCTGTGAGCACAGCCTCATTGTCCAGCCCCCAGTGCTGCCCCTGGGCCTTGAGTTGACCCACATGCCACAATGCAGCATGCACAGGGCATGGGAAACCCTCAGTTTCTGCTCTGGGACCCATGCTGCATGCAGTACTCACACAGGGCTAGTTCAGCATCCCCCGTTACACACTGGATTGGATCCAGGGCCTCAGCACCTACTCCGGCTGACTGAGGATTGTTTCACATGTGGTACCCACTCTGGCTGGTGCAGGTTGTGAGCAGCACATGGCACCTGCTCCAGCTGGTGCTGGACTGTGTCACATGTGGCACCTGCTTCAGCTGGTCTGAGGCAGGAACTGTGTGCACTGCAGTCCTGGATCAGCTGGAGTAGGTGCCACATGCAACACAGCCTTGGACTGGATAAAGTGGGTGCTGGATCCAGCATGTGGACGGATGGGGGGGGTGTCTATGGATCCTATCTGAACTGCGCAGCTGTCCCTATGCTGTTCAACCAGCCCATGAACCAGTCCCATACCACTCATCCACCCCCCACGGCCAGACAAATTTGACATCCTTGCTCTAGTGAGTTAAAGCAGGAAGCTAAGTTCTAGCTGTCATTATGCATAGTATGCATAGTGCTCATTCATTGATGAAGCTTTTTTGGGGTGGTGTGTTGCCAGCTGTGAGCATTTGCAAGGAGTCTAAGCTAAGCTGCAGAACTGTGGCTAAAATGAAGGCCCCAAAGTCTGTTTTTGAGCGACTGTAGTATGAACTTTTGCAGATGTGACAACTAGCTTGGTCAGCAAAGTAAAGGAAACCATCAAACACAATTAAACAAAGCACAAAGCCTAAAAGGAGTTAAGGGAAAACTATACATTAAATAATCCAAATATACTATATTAAAAGTTCATCTTAAAATATTAGTAGTGATTGATATAGCCAAATATATTGAATGTTATTTTGCTATTGTAACCCGGGCGGTACTCCAAGAGGTACGTACCCCTTCTCCAATTGAAGAAATCAAAGCAGGTGCACAAATGCTGTGGGAGGTGTAGGGACTCTCCTCCCCCTACAGAGCAGAGCCAGACCACCAATGGGGACTTAACCATGTACCTTTTAATGAGAGAACAGTACTGGGAACATAACCAGTATAAACCAGGGGGTATAGGGGACACTACAATGCCCTGAGGGGGCAGGATTCAACAA